TTTAGAAGTCCTTGAGGATCGATACTTGGATACTCCATCCATTTTATATTACTCTGACAGGTGTGCGCTTGCATCTATATAATTGTTACCACGCTTAGTGCGTGCGTTCAGCATAAACGCCCAGTCAATCACTTTGTCTAGGACTCGTTTTAGCCTATTTGCAAGAGCTCTTGAGATTATCTTGTAAATCAAGTTGCACGTGCTTATTGGGCGAAAGTCCTTCATTCAAGTAGCATTGGCCTTTTAGGGATGAGAGTTATAAAGGTCTGGTTGAGAGACCTTAAATCCCTCTCTTGTCGTTGAGGAAATTAAGACAAATCTTAATTGTTTCTTCACTGACTATCTCCCAATACTTCTCATAGAAAACTTTGTGGAATGTTAATTTGTGATTTTAAATATAACTTTACTGTAAATTCCAAAAAGTCCTGAATTCTTCTAAGTGGTGTCTTGGAATATGGAAGGGTTATGTAAATTCTTCCATAGTTATTACCTAGGACATTAAAAATAGATGTTTCGAGAGCTATTCATAGCACCTATATACGTAGAGGTGTTCTCCACCCTTTGTAACCATCTAAAAAAATCTAAGCTCCAATTGAACAAGATGCCAAAGCATTTAATAGAAGAAGTTTCTATCTCAAGTTCTCTGTTACTTTCTTTCATTGCCACCGAATATTTTAAAGAAAATATATTATGAGCCAAATATTCAAACACAAAAGAAAATATATTTTAAAGTGAACGACTGATATATTTTTATTTTTTCTGTCTGTTAATCAGAAAAGAGGGAGTTAAAAAAAAAAAAACGTGAATCACATGAATCAGTATTTAAAAATAACTCTACTTTCTTGTCTTTGCCCACTACTCGTGACATTGTATTTAAAAAATCCTTTTTAAAAGTATAAATAATCACCAAGAATATGGTAACTAATAAGCATATCTTGAATCAATGACGAAGATGGCAGCTGATGATCAAGAGCAACAGCTTGTTCTCCCTATTCTTCTCCTTCTAGCTTCACTCTTCATTACTCTCAAATATTTTAGATCTCCATCTTCAAAACAGACCAAACTTCCACCAGGCCCAAAGCCATGGCCAATTCTTGGAAACCTTCTTCAGATCGGCGAAGATGCTCACGCTTCAATGACTCGCTTCGCCCAAGCCTACGGACCTCTAATCTCGCTCCGGCTCGGAGGTCAGCTCCTCGTCGTTGCGTCGTCTCCCGATGCTGCCGCTGTGGTCCTCAAGACCCAAGATCGGCTTCTATCTGCTAGATACATTTTTCAAACGGTTCACGACGAAGCTCTTCATCGTGAATGCTCTTTTGTTTTCTCTCCCGAGTGCAATGATCGTTGGAGGAAGGTGAGGTCCATTTGTAGAGCCAATTTGTTCACGGCTAAAGCAATAGACTCACAGGCAAACTTGAGAAGAATGAAGATGGATGAAATGGTTGAGTTCTTGGTGTCCAAACAAGGATCTGTGGTCGAGATTAGAGATTTTGTGTTCACAACCGTTTTTAACATTCTCTCTAACTTTATCTTCTCAAGGGACTTGTTTGATTTCGTTGGTGATGGATTCAATGGTATCAAAGCATCTTTGAAGAAGATGGTGACTTTGGGTTTGACTCCAAATTTAGCTGACTACTACTCCTTGTTGAGAAATTTAGATCTCCAAGGTCTTCGGAAGAAAGCTACAATCTACAGGAAGCAGATAGATTCCGCATGGAAAGAGCTTATTGACGAAAGAAGAAAAATCCATCTTCAAAATTCTCCTAATTTTGTTGCGCGTGACTTCTTGGATGTCTTGATTCAAAGTCAATTCAACGATGAGCAAATCAACCATTTGATTGTTGTACGCAAATAAATGATCACTACCATTTCTTTTTTTTTTTTTTAGTTTTAACATTTAAATCTTTCTCGCGTTGTTTGTGTTTGTAGGAAATTTTCTTGGCTGGTACGGATACAACTACCATGACGGTGGAGTGGGCAATGGCAGAGATGCTGAAGCAGAGAGACATAATGGCAAAAGTGCGAGAAGAGATGAAAAGGGAAATAAATAACCAAAGCACTGTTGATGAATCCAAAATCTCTCAGCTCCATTATCTGTGGAAGTGTGTGAAAGAAACTCTAAGACTACACCCACCAGCACCATTTCTTCTTCCTCGTGTAGCTCCAACAGATTGTGAGCTTATGGGATACTCAATTCCAAAAGACACTCTCATTTTTGTCAATGTTTGGGGAATTGGAAGGGACCCTTCACTTTGGGAAGACTCCTTATCATTCAATCCTGAAAGATTTACTGATTGTGATGTGGACTTTAAAGGTTATGATTATCGATACCTTCCATTTGGAGGAGGGAGGAGAATCTGTCCTGGACTTCCAATGGCGTCTGTGCAAATTCCTTTAATCTTAGCCACCTTAATTCACAACTTTGAATTGTCTCTTCCTAATGGTCAGGATTTTTCAAAGCTTGATTTGGATGGGAAGCTAGGTGTAACATTGCAGAAGAAAAAACCTCTCCAACTCATCCTTCAAAAGAGGTTATGATATGACCATCTCCCATGTCTTGATGAAATAAAGTGTCTTTTTTTAGCCCAAGTTGCTCATGCCCCCTCTATTTTATATTTGAATTAATAAAGGTCAAATTACAATTTTCGTTCTTATATTGGGTTTTTAGTTTCAATTTTTTCTACTTTTAATTTTAAAAGTTTCAATTTAGGCTACGTCTATTTACAACGAATCGGAACAAGAGAAAGAACGAGAATGGAAATTAATTGGAATGAGAATTTTATTTCTAGGATGTTGTTTACTATAAATTTTCTTAAATTATAATTAGAAATTCATTTATTATTCTTTACTAAAATCGCGTGGAATTGGAATATGAATCACATATTTAACAGTTATTGGAAAAAAAAACAAAATGTCATACATCAAAAGACCAACTAAGCCACCTCGCCTGCATTACGAAACCATCCCCAACACAATCGATCACACCAGCAATGGGGTCGATTGCTCCTCACGTCCCATATGAAGGATAGCACCCCGTACCCAAACCATCGTGTGCCTTTGGGGACCACCGTCAAGTCATTGTGTGGCTGTTTTAGAGCATTTAGGCTCTGATACCGTATCATGGTTTATGAGATCCCATTTCAAAATAACCTTTGTTAAATCCTTTATTTTTTCGAGGTGGGATCCTTAACCATAACAATTACTAGTCCACCACCTTCTTATTTCTACCCAATTACATATATATTATTTGAAAATGGTACTTAGGTTGTTTTTAATTAAAATAATAATTTATTTTATTTTATTCATAACAAATATTTTTTGTTATTACAATTGATTTAATATTAACAAATAAAAAATAACTAAAATAAAATGACATCAAGTACTTAAAACTGATTTCTATAATTTTTATTAAACCACCATCATTAATATAAAATATTATTTAATTTTATTGTTTTAATATTTGATTAAGATTAATTTTATTTGAAAAAATTCATTGATATTAACTAATAATAACGAAGTAAAATTAAATACAAATTTGTAATATTATATATTAAAATCACATTAACTAACAAGAGTTATATAATTTTGTTATTAGGATAAACTTTAACAACCCAACATTTTAAGACTTAAATTGCCTAGCCATGGTACTATACATGCATGCTAATTACACGTCATAAAATAACCTTACCAAATAACTAAAAAGTTTTATTGGGTTCCCATAAAACATAATAGTAAAATAAATAACTTTTACTATAATAAAAAGAAAAAATGAAACTAACGCAGAAGCTAAAAACGTATGGCACAACTAGCAAACATCCTGGTCACTAGCCTTGTATATCTTTTCTAATTTGTAGAAAAAAAAAGTGGAAAGGGTATAAAATACAATTTTACTCAAAATTAACAATTTTAGATAACATCATAAAAACTATTTATTCGGCAAGATGGGACCGTTCAAGGAATGAAGATTTTGACGTTTTCTATCATTTAGAATCAAAAGATGCCCTTCAGAATTACCGATACATTTAATTAGAGGTAATCTAATAAAGACTCGAGTGATACACCCATCTTTAACACTCAAGGAAATGATTCATGGCTGTTACCTAAAAGAATTATGTCCCACCACTAGTCTAAATTGTTGCAAAAACCCCAAATTTGATGAGATTTACCATAAAATTAAAGAAAATAATTCATAAACATATATTTGAAGTATTATGAATCAATTGATAGAAGATACATCATAAAAGCTTTTAACATGGGTTATGAAAATGATGAGATCACTGTAAAATTACCAATTTGAAGTACCTTGATGTATTTCATCTTAAGTATATCAAATATATTATTGGTCGATATAATTCGTTTAAAATATATAAGTTATAACTAATATACCTTGATGTACTACATAGTAGATGTATCAATCGGCATGGGTTGAGCCCCAGTAGTTTACCAAATAAATAGATAAGTTGAGCATTCCGAGCCAACCAAGGGAAACTGGTGGTTTACTAGTCACGACCAATTTAAGCTTAAATTGTTTCCATAGTGTATAACCTCTTTAGGGAATATAAGGTTTTCATGAGGCTGATCTTGAGTCACCATCCAAGCACGGATACGTTCATTTAAAATAATATTTATGGTACAGAAAGTCTCAAACTTCGAATCTTTTGTGCATAGATTTCCTAAGAAACGAAGTCATAATCACGTAGGTTCAGCACCAAACAACCTATTCCAAGAGCACTCATCATAACATGTTACACGTACGTACAAGTAACATAAAGAAATGCAATAAGCATTTATTAGGAAAAGCAACTTGAAAGATTTGGGACCAAAAGTAGTTAGTCAGATGACCACTGAATAAGTTTTGTGTAAAAACAGGAAATGTATTTACACCATCATTATCTAAAAATAAATTATATTAGTCAACTGATATACCAATTATATACGTAGTACATCAAGGTATATCACTTAAGTGATATTTCCAAATTTCTCATTTACTTGTTAACCTCATTTGAGTATAGCTTGGCTACAAAATGGGCCGAGGTATGTACTCGAATTAATAATGAAGAATTCTTGTTAGGGGATTTGTAATGGGTAGCATATAAGTTTTCTATATTTAACAAAATAGCGTGCTTTTTTGATATTTTCAGATATTGCATTTTTTTGAAAATCCTGATTTTAAAATTTTCAATATTCCCAAATTACTCTTTTCAGTTATCGCTTCGTTATTATATATCAAACATATATCACATATATATCAGGAGTATATCTGACAACATTAGTATATCAGAAGTAAATCAATAGTAAGTCAATCAGTTCTATATCAGTGTATAATAGTAAATCACTATTTTACCTGCTTTAAACCCTTTGTCTTGTATTTTTTTGATCAATTAGAAATTAGTAGGTATTGGCATGCATGGAAAATGAGAAAAAAATTTGATACTTACTGAAAATGAGAAAGAAAACTTGAAAGGAACGTGAATGTGAACGTCAATGGTGATTTTCGAAATTAGTGTGAATGAGAAATCAATTAGAAATTAGAGGTAAATAGAAACTTAGGGTTTTTCTGTATATCAATAATATATCAGTGATATATCAAGTATACATTGTACATATATCAATCGTACAATTAAGTTTTATTTAAAGTTTTAAAGATCAAAATGAAAGCAGCAACAATGTCATTCTTAAAAGGTTTAAATATCATTCTTGGGTATTAACATCAACATCAAATCAGCAGCAAAGTCCTTCAACCAAAAACTTAAAGATTTAAACATCAAAATGAATCAGTAGCATAAACCAAAAGTAGACTAACAATGTCATTCTTAAAATTCTATAAGAGAAGAAGCATAAGTTCCAGAAGCATAAGTTCCAACAGTCTAGAAAAGCGTAAGTTTCATTCTTGTATAATCTTTAGGTGAGACATCAATCTTCGTTCTTCGTGATTGTCGTGTTTTCGGAGATACTATCTTTGAAGCTTTCTGTTTTTCCAAAAACAACACTTTTGGTGTTGGTTTATGTTGTCTTTTGGGACAAACGACATCAACATTTTCGACGATGTTTTTTTATTTCATTTTTCGTGTTTGTACCATTGCTTTTATCTGAAAAAAAATTATTTCATATATTAGTATATCATAAAACATATATTAGAGGTAATATGTTCGAAATAATTGGTAGATATCATAGTTATATAAGAAGTAAATCAATTTCATATCATATGTATATCAAACATATATCACATATATATCAAGAGTATATATGTTAATCATAGTTATATCAGAAGTAAATCAATAATATATAAGAAGTCAATCAGTTCTATATCACCTATAGTAGTAGATATCATAGTTATATCAGAAGTAAATCAATTTCATATCATATGTATATCAAACATATATCACATATATGTGAGGAGTATATTTGTCAATCATAGTTATATCATAAGTAAATCAAAAGTCAATCAGTTTTATATCACCTATAATAGTATATATCATAGTTATATCAGAAGTAAATCAATTCATATCAAATATATATGAAACATATATCACACATATATCAGGAGTATATTTGTCAATCATAGTTATATCATAAGTAAATCAATAGTATAACAGAAGTCAATCAATTTTATGTCACCTATAGTAGTAGATATCATAGTTATATCATAAGTAAATCAATTTCATACCATACGTATATCAAACATATATCACATATATATCAAGAATATATCTGTCAACCATTAGTATATCAGAAGTCAATCAGAAGTAATTTATTGTTGGTTCGGGCCTGCAGGGTATATTTGTAATTTATAACGTGGGCCTCCGTTTTTTTGCCAAAAATTTGCTATATTTGAATAACTCAAATCTTGTTGCTATTTTGCTTATTTTCCTAACTTTTTTTTGCCATATCTCAAGTTGCCACTTCTTGTTATTCATTAACAATGTTTACATTCCCTTTCCTAAAATTAAAAAATTAAAAAATTAAAATTTAAAATATTATTTACATTCCTGCGAGAATAGCTATATTACATTTATTCATACTATGTCTTGAGATACTTGATGTTCCAAGGACGAGGAAGTAATTTTTTCCACTCATGTTAGCTAATGTATAGGCGTTGGTGCAAACTATTTCGTTCACTTCCTATGTGCCTAACTACGTGGGTTCGAATGCTCTGACGTACTGCAAGACTGTAGTGTTGTACCTCTACTTGATAGCTAGATGGTATGTCTAGGTTATTGATTTACTATTTTATTTCTAAAGCTATTTCTCCTTTTATCTTGATGAAATAAATTCTATTCTAACATTTTTAGAATTAGAATAGAATTAGTGTGATTAAACAAGCGGCCAACAAATTAACCAACTATAAAAACTTAATCAATCAATACATGCAATGAGACTATTGTAGAAAATATTGCAGTCATGAATCTTCGGAAGGTCGCATGACATTGCAAAGACCAAACGACGCCCTTTGAAATGTGAACACCCCATAGAGACATAAAAGTCATTTCCTCCTGGTCCTCTAGAGCTATTGTAATTTGGATATAACGAGAATAACTGTCTAAAAAGCAATAACACTCCTTCCCTATGAGACGATTGAGCATCTGGTCAATAAAAATAAGTGAGAAATGGTATTTTCTAGTTATCTTGTTCAACCGACAATTATCCATGCATA